CGGCGTTTGGTATCGGGGCATTTTAACGAGTACGAGTACGAGTACAGGAGACCAGTATCGGGCCCGATACCGATACCAGTATCGGTATCGGTGCATCCCTAACAATTTGCCTTCTTTCTGTTCTTCATAATGTTTCTAACTGAGAGATTAAGAACTGCACGCTAAGTGAAGTAAGAATCCCTAGTTCTTGGAGTTCCTTGTTTCTTTCCAGCAAAGGCCAAATGGTATCCATCATGTCACCCATCCTTTTCTACTTAAACTCTCTCTCTCGCTCTTTCTCTCCATCTTTCGCTCTGTCTTCGGTCGAGTCCCTCTTGTGTCAGGGCACAGCGGGTTGACTCACTGGTGCAGATGTTGATGAGTGTGATATGACTGTGATGTGCTTGGGGATTTGAAAAAAACAGGCCTCTCGTCCTGCTCCGGTGGCCCACGTTTAGCGTGCTGGAGCGATGTGCATCAAACCATTGTGAAATGCCATGTCATGCTGGTTTAGTGCTGGAACAAATATTTACAAGAGTCAGAGGCCTCCCACAAGGTAAATAAGTCCGTTTGCTTACATTTCAATCACAGGGGAAAAGGACACCGATGTACACAGATGCTTTTAATTCAGGGACGCTCAGGACGTCTTGTTATGGGCCGAAAAAAAATTTTTTTCGCCCGCATTATCAAAACAAGACCAAGCCGATTAAGTAGCTGCGAAGGGCGAGATAACAAACAAGGATGCACATGGAAACAAGTTTGTGTTTGTGCGTTATATGGAGCTATTTATGCGACGGGGTATTATAGCAATAAACCGTAAAGTGCTGGTTTTCCTCTTCGTTGTTTTCGCATGTTGCGCCATGTTATGAGTGCACCTGCTGGTATTTTCAGCCCAGCTGCATGGTCTGCGCGTCTGCGTCCCTGGAATCCTGCTCAGCAAGCAAACAGCCAGGACAAAGCTGCAACAGCCATTCAATAAGTTGTGTACAAATTGGAAGGAGCAATAACTCAATTGCTGCAGCTAATTCACTCATGGGTGAGGCACAGGTTCAGAAAAGTCGGATAATGCAGTCAAGGCCCGCTGGGAATTGTTGCCCCAGAGCTATCTCATTTCAATATAGGCCAGACTTCCATAGGAATTACTCACCAGCTGAACAAGTCCAGCCATACAAGCTACCTCATATTTATGCCTGCCTTTTTTTCTTTGAAATACGAAGTTCCACACACACATATATGGAGTGAGGGAATAGGTAATAAATGCCCCAGGCCATAATAATTTTCTTGCTGGGATTATGATGGAGGGGAGGGGGTGGGGGTGTTTTACGGCCTACCAAGTTACAGCAGCTCCACATCGACACCCCTGTTATGTTTACATAAGACCGGGACAGATGAAAAAACTGAGGAGGAGAGAGAAATGCCAGAGGAGATTCATGACCCACCGCTGAGGGGGCCCCTGACTGGTATCCGGCGCTGCTTTTTCACGGCCCCCAACACCTTCTTGTGCTGAACATCAAGGACAAGTTCTGATCTGAAGACTGTAGGTTATTGAGTTTAGTGGTCGTTTTACTATAATAACATCTTCTCTTGAACAGTGTTTGTAATAAAAAAAATAGTAAAAAAAAAAATTATTTAAACAAATCAAATATCTTTAAAAAGTTTTTTTTTTTTTTGGCCTGTCCTGCCTCGGAGGTCAACTGTTCACTCAGCAATTAAAATCATACAACAGTGTTTTAATTTTAGTATAATATGTTGAACTGATGTTCAGTTTATTGTAGAAAAAGCTGTTTTAATTATTAACCAATTTTATTGAACAGAAACATTTACCTGTGGAATGTTTAAAAATACATTCTTTAAAATATTACACAAAATTCTTTACATTTTTTGGTCTCTTTCTACAGCACAACGATAAAACAAGTATTGTACATCTGGTTATATTTTACATTTTCACAAAAAAAAAAAAATGTTGACTGCATTCATCAAGCTCAACCTTTAATCCTACCAGTTTTTGTAAGAAAAAACAGCAACAACTATTTTTACAACTATCTGTAATTAAATGAAAGTATAAGTTTATCACTAATCACAACTAGCTAGTTCTGTTCTGAATTCGCAACCGTTTGCCATTCTAGCATAGTTTTTTTTATATTTATTTGATTAAATGTCATTGATTTTTTATTTAATGTTTATTACTAGAAAACTACAAAATCTGGGTTTAAAACTGTATTGTACATGTCACAGGGCTGCAAAAATGCCAAACCTCATATAAAACGGACAGAAATAAAACCGCTGATATAATATTTAGCTTGACCTCCTGAGGTTGACCATCAACAACCTAAGTGCCTCCTTTCACTGACCATTTGTTGAAAAAAGCCCCGAAAACTTCAATTTCTAAGAGCTTCAGGCATTTTTGTGTACTCCGTTCGTGGAAAGCTTTCCAAATATTAGTGCATGAAAACAGCTGCTTCTAAAGTGTTTTTTTTTTTCATAACAGCAGTACTTTTTCTTCAGACCAGATGCATCCTTCATTATGCAACACAATGAAGATCAAGAGAATGCGCTTTATTTCCATGAGAATGTCGTTTAGGTGTGACGTGTGTGTGTGTGTGCTGGATAAATTCTACATTCTTTGATTGATTGGGACAGATTCACAAGCTGCATAGAAGTGATGCAAAGCCTTCTGGGTCAGAATGGACTCTTCAGTCTCTCATTTTACAGAGTTACAGTGACCTGATCGAGGGCACATGACTTCACATGACTTACGGCAGCTTTACACAGTGAAACGTCAACTACAGCCTTACAGTAAAGCTTTAAATAATTGACTAAATAGTTAAATAAAGAAAATAGATGAGCAGAATGACAAAGCATGAAGGTTCAGCAAATATAGTACAAATGCATTTTAGCCTTTTGAGGATCTGGGTTAATATTCGTGTGTGATTTGCCAGTGGTGCTGGTTAGAGACTGATGTGTGTTTTAAACAGGATTAGATGTTATAATAGCAGACTGAGGGAGCTATTTTTAGAGGTTTTTTGTGTATGTTTGCAGTGCTTTCTTTTACACAGTGTATTAATGGTTGTTGTTGACTTAGAGATTTTTCTACATTTACATTTACATTTACATTTAGTCATTTAGCAGACGCTTTTATCCAAAGCGACTTACAATTGGGGGATACATAAAGCGATTCTTCTTAAGAGGCAAACAGACACAGGAAGTGGTTGTAATACCAAGTTCTTAGACATTGTTCAAATAAGTCTCTTCTGTTGACTAATCGCTTGACCCCAGTCTGTCTCTTAAAAATTGCATCCATTGGTTTAATAGAACATTTTTGACAGCACATTTACTGCATATAATGTGCGAAGCATTGTTTCAAAAAAGTTTTTCTTGTGAAAATGTTCCTTAAAACAAGATTAATGTACTTGAGAAGCAAAATTGTAACAGTATGTGTGTATTCAAATAATATATTGTTATAATATATTGAATGAAGTGTATTTTTCTCAACCCATTAGCAAATTGTTATTTATACTTAAACCAAGAACTGTATGCCAGTAGTGTTAAACTTAATTCAAGATATATTATCTTATTATTAGTGCTGGGAAACAATTAATCGCGATTAATTGCATCCAAAATAAAAGTTTTTGTTTATAATATATGTGTGTGTGTGTGCTGTGTATA